ATAGACGCGACATATAACCGACATATATAACTCTAACAAACCGTATAACTCTCAAGCTACTAAGACCGCTGACTAAGACGCCTCTAACTCTGTGCATGGCTTCGCTCATCCCACCAATATGAAGTGTTATACGCGATAGTCTCTCTGCCGCGCTTATTACCGTTATATGTGGCCATCGCCCAATACGAGGATACACACCCATGTCTCTCGACGTTAGCTGTTTTGTTCTATATCGTGGTTTTCAAGTTCCTTAACTAAACATGTCAGCAAAGCAAGCCCTCTTACACACCCTGCCCTCATACACGCGACTCTGCTGCATTGCTTTCGCTATCCCACCCAATATTAGTGTATACGCGTATAGGCGCTTTGCGCGTATACGTTATATATATGCATGACAATACGAGAAAAAACGTTCATTCGGGTTATGTTGCTTCTATATCGGGGGTTTTCAAGTGTTTTACTAAACACTGTCAGCAAGCAAGCCCGTCTTTCTACACGTCCTACCTATACACGCCGACTTTCCTGTGCTATTGCTCCGCTCCCCACCCATCTGCATTGGTGCGTATGCGGCCCGTACGAGCGCTCCGCTTTCGCGCGTCACCCGTTAGCACGCCCCTCCCCCTCCCCCTTCTACTGTTTAATTGCTTCTGACAATACGAGAAAAAACGTTTCATCGACGTTATGTGCTTCTATATCGTTGGGTTTTCAAAGTGTTTTAACTAAACATGTCAGCAAGCAAGCCCTTCTTTACACACCCTGCCCTATACACGCGGACTCTGTGGGCCATTGCTTTCGCTATCCCCACCCAAGTCCACTCAGTGTATACGCCGTATAGGCGCTTTTGCGCGGTATTCTATCCCCGTCTATCATCATATGCTCAGTGACAATTCACTGAGAAAAAACGTTTCCGCATCGACTGCTCTCCTCTCCCCCGGTTGTTCTATAATCGTGGTCTTTCAAAGGTTTTAACCTAAACGATGTCCATGCAATCGCCCCGTCCCACAGCCCCCTTCTTTACAGCCACAGCCCCTCCCACCCCTCTGCCGCTTATATCACTCGCGCACGTCTGTGCCATCTCCGCTTTTTTCGCCGTCATTCCCCCACCCATATATGAGGCATACGCGTTATAGGCCGCTTTGCGCCGTCTAACGCTGTCATCGCCGAATATATGCATGGACCACTACGACTCCCGGAAAACGTTCATCGACGTTATGTTGCTTCTATTTATCGTTGTGGCTTTTCAAAGTTTTTAAACTAAACATTTCAGCAAGCAAGCCCTCTTCACACCCTGCCCCTTACACGCGATCTGCTGCCATTGCTTTCGCTATCCCACCCAATATGAGTGCATACGCGTATAGGCCGCTTTGGCAGTATTACGTTTATATATAGCATGACAATACGAGAAAAAGTTTCATCGACGTTCCTATGTGCTTCTGTATACTTCGTGGGTTTTCAGTTTTTAACTAAGACCCATGCATCCTCAGCCACCGGCGCAAGCCTCTTTAGCACACCACCTCGCGCCCCTATACACGCGGCCTTTCCTGTGCATTGCCTTTCCTATTTCCCACCCACCTCCCCCTCGCTCGCCCCTCCTCTCGTTTCGCCCCTTCCCCTCGCCTCACCCCTCCCCCTCGCTCGGCGCCCCTCCCCTCGCTCTCCTCCACCCCTCGCTTCGCCCCTCCCCCCTCGCTCGCCTCTCCCCCTCGCTCACCCTTCCCCTCGCTCGCCCCACCCCTCTGCTCGCCCTCCCCCGTGCTCACCCTCACCTCGCTCGCCCCCTCCCATAGCCTCGCCCCTCCGTCTCGCTCCGCTCCCTCGCTCACCCCTCCCCCTCCGCCTCCGCCCCTCCCCCTCCGCACGCCCTCCCCCTCGCTCGCCCCTCCCCCTCGCTTACCTCTCTCACGCGGCTGACATAGGGAGTGTCGTGGAACACGGGAGCGTTGTCGTTCGCATCGTGGATCAACACGGTAACCTGGTGACGCACGAAGTTGTTCGGGTTCCCGTCTCCCACACGGTCCTCAATCGTCACGTAGAACGTCAGCGAACTCTGCGACTGCAGACGAACAAACGGATCGTCATTAAAAAAAACGTACATTTCATGGCGTGCACGCCACAGTCTATGAGCAAGTGAATGCTAAGACTATTGTTAAGACAATTCTGACTGCGGACGCATCTATGGTCCATATATGCATCCCCATGGTCAATAATGGTGGCCCACCCAAAATTCCATTACTTTTTGTTTTTTCCATGCCTAATCGATAATATTTCACAGTACAATATTTTATTTTAAAATTATTTATATACTTGGCATTATTATTTATATACTCTGCATCACGCTCTATGGTTTCTCGTATGCAGCATACGGATGTATGTAAAGCTTGGGACACACAAGGCGATTTTTCTGGCGATTGAGTCGAGCGACGGAGTCGGGCGACTAAGTGGACACACTAGGCGATTTTCAGCACGATTCATCGGCGATTTTTCTCCCGCTGCAACACTAAAACACTCGCGCCACCTAGATTGATAGTCACATGATTTAAAATGGCACCATTTGATTGGCTGATGAATTGTACATTCGGGCGACTCATTAGCCGACCCGGACACACTAGGCGATTGTAGTCGCGCGACTCAAATAATCGCCCGATTTTATCAAACATGTTTGATTCGGGTGACTGACTCGAAAATCGGCGGCGACTCACTCGACAAACTAGGAGATTTTCACCCCCGATTGAGTCGGGCGACTCAATCGCCGGTGAAAATCGCCTAGTGTGTCCGGGGATTAAGGAGAACCCTGCGCCACGCCCCGCAATGTCTAACCTCGCGATCCAGCTTCTCATTGAGGTAAACATCGCCCGTCGTCGCGTCGACGCGGAACACCGACGTGCCGTCGATGCCGAAGGTCACGGGGTCGCGATCGGGGTCAATGCCGACGAGCTTGTAGACGAGTGATCCTGCAACAAGCGTGCGTCCGTGCGTGAGATATATATATACAGGGTTCTCCCTACGTTGCGCAAACGTTTGGGAAAACTCCCCCCTGTTTCAATCGTTGCGCCCCGTTTAAATTACCTTCGCCCCGATTAAATTCCACCACAATAAAAGTTTGCCAGCG